GTCTCTAATTCTGTGTGTGCCCTCCAATCACAGCTATAGAGTCTCTAATTCTGTGTGTGCCCTCCAATCACAGCTATAGAGTCTCTAATTCTGTGTGTGCCCTCCAATCACAGCTATAGAGTCTCTAATTCTATGTGTGCCCTCCAATCACAGCTATAGAGTCTCTAATTCTGTGTGTGCCCTCCAATCACAGCTATAGAGTCTCTAATTCTGTGTGTGCCCTCCAATCACAGCTATAGAGTCTCTAATTCTGTGTGTGCCCTCCAATCACAGCTATAGAGTCTCTAATTCTGTGTGTGCCCTCCAATCACAGCTATAGAGTCTCTAATTCTGTGTGTGCCCTCCAATCACAGCTATAGAGTCTCTAATTCTGTGTGTGCCCTCCAATCACAGCTATAGAGTCTCTAATTCTGTGTGTGCCCTCCAATCACAGCTATAGAGTCTCTAATTCTGTGTGTGCCCTCCAATCACAGCTATAGAGTCTCTAATTCTGTGTGTGCCCTCCAATCACAGCTATAGAGTCTCTAATTCTGTGTGTGCCCTCCAATCACAGCTATAGAGTCTCTAATTCTGTGTGTGCCCTCCAATCACAGCTATAGAGTCTCTAATTCTGTGTGTGCCCTCCAATCACAGCTATAGAGTCTCTAATTCTGTGTGTGCCCTCCAATCACAGCTATAGAGTCTCTAATTCTGTGTGTGCCCTCCAATCACAGCTATAGAGTCTCTAATTCTGTGTGTGCCCTCCAATCACAGCTATAGAGTCTCTAATTCTATGTGTGCCCTCCAATCACAGCTATAGAGTCTCTAATTCTGTGTGTGCCCTCCAATCACAGCTATAGAGTCTCTAATTCTGTGTGTGCCCTCCAATCACAGCTATAGAGTCTCTAATTCTGTGTGTGCCCTCCAATCACAGCTATAGAGTCTCTAATTCTGTGTGTGCCCTCCAATCACAGCTATAGAGTCTCTAATTCTGTGTGTGCCCTCCAATCACAGCTATAGAGTCTCTAATTCTATGTGTGCCCTCCAATCACAGCTATAGAGTCTCTAATTCTGTGTGTGCCCTCCAATCACAGCTATAGAGTCTCTAATTCTGTGTGTGCCCTCCAATCACAGCTATAGAGTCTCTAATTCTGTGTGTGCCCTCCAATCACAGCTATAGAGTCTCTAATTCTGTGTGTGCCCTCCAATCACAGCTATAGAGTCTCTAATTCTGTGTGTGCCCTCCAATCACAGCTATAGAGTCTCTAATTCTCTGTATGCCCTCCAATCACAGCTATAGTCTCTTATTCTGTGTGTGCCCTCCAATAACAGCTATACAGTCTCTAATTCAATGTCTGCCCTCCAATCACAGCTATAGAGTCTCTAATTCTGTGTGTGCCCTCCAATCACAGCTATAGAGTCTCTAATTCTGTGTGTGCCCTCCAATCACAGCTATAGAGTCTCTAATTCTGTGTGTGCCCTCCAATCACAGCTATAGAGTCTCTAATTCTGTGTTTACCCTTCCATCACATAGAGTCTCTAATTCTGGTGTGCTCTCCAATCACAGCTATAGAGTCTCTAATTCTGTGTGTGCCCTCCAATCACAGCTATAGAGTCTCTAATTCTGTGTGTGCCCTCCCATCACAGCTATACAGTCTCTAATTCTGTGTGTGCCCTCCAATCACAGCTATAGAGTCTCTAATTCTGTGTGTGCCCTCCAATCACAGCTATAGAGTCTCTAATTCTGTGTGTGCCCTCCAATCACAGCTATAGAGTCTCTAATCTTTGTGTGCCCTCTCTGTGTGTGCCCAGCTATAGAGTCTCTAATTCTGTGTGTGCCCTCCAATCACAGCTATAGAGTCTCTAATTCTGTGTGTGCCCTCCAATCACAGCTATAGAGTCTCTAATTCTGTGTGTGCCCTCCAATCACAGCTATAGAGTCTCTAATTCTGTGTGTGCCCTCCAATCACAGCTATAGAGTCTCTAATTCTATGTGTGCCCTCCAATCACAGCTATAGAGTCTCTAATTCTGTGTGTGCCCTCCAATCACAGCTATAGAGTCTCTAATTCTGTGTGTGCCCTCCAATCACAGCTATAGAGTCTCTAATTCTGTGTGTGCCCTCCAATCACAGCTATAGAGTCTCTAATTCTGTGTGTGCCCTCCAATCACAGCTATAGAGTCTCTAATTCTGTGTGTGCCCTCCAATCACAGCTATAGAGTCTCTAATTCTGTGTGTGCCCTCCCATCACAGCTATAGAGTCTCTAATTCTGTGTGTGCCCTCCAATCACAGCTATAGAGTCTCTAATTCTGTGTGTGCCCTCCAATCACAGCTATAGAGTCTCTAATTCTGTGTGTGCCCTCCAATCACAGCTATAGAGTCTCTAAATCTGGGTTTACTCTTCCATTACAGCTATAGAGTCTCTCTTTCTGTGCGTGCCCTCCAATCACAGCTATAGAGTCTCTAATTCTGTGTGTGCCCTCCAATCACAGCTATAGAGTCTCTAATTCTATGTGTGCCCTCCAATCACAGCTATAGAGTCTCTAATTCAATGTGTGCCCTCCAATCACAGCTATAGAGTCTCTAATTCTATGTGTGCCCTCCAATCACAGCTATAGAGTCTCTAATTCTGTGTGTGCCCTCCAATCACAGCTATAGAGTCTCTAATTCTGTGTGTGCCCTCCAATCACAGCTATAGAGTCTCTAATTCTGTGTGTGCCCTCCAATCACAGCTATAGAGTCTCTAATTCTGTGTGTGCCCTCCAATCACAGCTATAGAGTCTCTAATTCTGTGTGTGCCCTCCAATCACAGCTATAGAGTCTCTAATTCTGTGTGTGCCCTCCAATCACAGCTATAGAGTCTCTAATTCTATGTGTGCCCTCCAATCACAGCTATAGAGTCTCTAATTCTATGTGTGCCCTCCAATCACAGCTATAGAGTCTCTAATTCTATGTGTGCCCTCCAATCACAGCTATAGAGTCTCTAATTCTGTGTGTGCCCTCCAATCACAGCTATAGAGTCTCTAATTCTGTGTGTGCCCTCCAATCACAGCTATAGAGTCTCTAATTCTATGTGTGCCCTCCAATCACAGCTATAGAGTCTCTAATTCTGTGTGTGTCCTCCAATCACAGCTATAGAGTCTCTAATTCTGTGTGTGCCCTCCAATCACAGCTATAGAGTCTCTAATTCTGTGTGTGCCCTCCAATCACAGCTATAGAGTCTCTAATTCTATGTGTGCCCTCCCATCACAGCTATAGAGTCTCTAATTCTGTGTGTGCCCTCCAATCACAGCTATAGAGTCTCTAATTCTGTGTGTGCCCTCCAATCACAGCTATAGAGTCTCTAATTCTGTGTGTGCCCTCCAATCACAGCTATAGAGTCTCTAATTCTGTGTGTGCCCTCCAATCACAGCTATATAGTCTCTAATTCTGTGTGTGCCCTCCAATCACAGCTATAGAGTCTCTAATTCTGTGTGTGCCCTCCCATCACAGCTATAGAGTCTCTAATTCTGTGTGTGCCCTCCAATCACAGCTATAGAGTCTCTAATTCTGTGTGTGCCCTCCAATCACAGCTATAGAGTCTCTAATTCTGTGTGTGCCCTCCAATCACAGCTATAGAGTCTCTAATTCTGTGTGTGCCCTCCAATCACAGCTATAGAGTCTCTAATTCTGTGTGTGCCCTCCAATCACAGCTATAGAGTCTCTAATTCTGTGTGTGCCCTCCAATCACAGCTATAGAGTCTCTAATTCTGTGTGTGCCCTCCAATCACAGCTATAGAGTCTCTAATTCTGTGTGTGCCCTCCAATCACAGCTATAGAGTCTCTAATTCTATGTGTGCCCTCCAATCACAGCTATAGAGTCTCTAATTCTGTGTGTGCCCTCCAATCACAGCTATAGAGTCTCTAATTCTATATGTGGCCTCCAATCACAGCTATAGAGTCTCTAATATCGTGAGTGCCCTTCCATCACATCTATTGAGTCTCTAATTCTATGTGTGCCCTCCAATCACAGCTATAGAGTCTCTAATTCTATGTGTGCCCTCCAATCACAGCTATAGAGTCTCTAATTCTGTGTGTGCCCTCCAATCACAGCTATAGAGTCTCTAATTCTGTGTGTGCCCTCCAATCACAGCTATAGAGTCTCTAATTCTGTGTGTGCCCTCCAATCACAGCTATAGAGTCTCTAATTCTATGTGTGCCCTCCAATCACAGCTATAGAGTCTCTAATTCTGTGTGTGCCCTCCAATCACAGCTATAGAGTCTCTAATTCTATGTGTGCCCTCCCAAAACAGCTATAGAATCTCTAATTCCATGTGTGCCCTCCAATCACAGCTAAAGAGTCTCTAATTCTTTGTGTGCCCTCCAATCACAGCTATAGAGTCTCTAATTCTGTGTGTGCCCTCCAATCACAGCTATAGAGTCTCTAATTCTGTGTGTGCCCTCCCATCACAGCTATAGAGTCTCTAATTCTGTGTTTTCCCTCCAATCACAGCTATAGAGTCTCTAATTCTGTGTGTGCCCTCCAATCACAGCTATAGAGTCTCTAATTCTGTGTGTGCCCTCCAATCACAGCTATAGAGTCTCTAATTCTGTGTGTGCCCTCCAATCACAGCTATAGAGTCTCTAATTCTGTGTGTGCCCTCCAATCACAGCTATAGAGTCTCTAATTCTGTGTGTGCCCTCCAATCACAGCTATAGAGTCTCTAATTCTGTGTGTGCCCTCCAATCACAGCTATAGAGTCTCTAATTCTATGTGTGCCCTTCCAATCACAGCTATAGAGTCTCTAATTCTGTGTGTGCCCTCCAATCACAGCTATAGAGTCTCTAATTCTGTGTGTGCCCTCCAATCACAGCTATAGAGTCTCTAATTCTGTGTGTGCCCTCCAATCACAGCTATAGAGTCTCTAATTCTGTGTGTGCCCTCCAATCACAGCTATAGAGTCTCTAATTCTGTGTGTGCCCTCCAATCACAGCTATAGAGTCTCTAATTCTATGTGTGCCCTCCAATCACAGATGATCACTTTCTACAATTTAACGATTCGGTCAAGATTCCTTTCTTAAACTTGTAAACACTTTAGACGAAACTGCTGGTACATCAGATTCATTGAGCTGAAGGCTTCGGCGCTTTTGCAGCTTCGAGGAAGGTCATGGAGACATGAGACGAAGGTAGGGTAAGTTTGCCTTTATCGGGAAAACAAGGGCGAAACAAATCAACATGTGACACTTTACTATTACTATTACTTTATCTTTAAAGTTTATCTATCTTGATGTTATAGAACACATTCATGTATTATATCCGAATGAAAATTGATAATTATTGATTGTCTAAAAAATAATAATTGAGGAGAGAAGTGGTAGATCCCTGGAACAGTAATGTAGACAGAAAGCAAGCTGCTCCACGAGAAACAAAATATTAAGAACAACAACTCATTAAGAATCATGCAAGTTTAGGAACTGGAAGAGATGGCATCACACATAGATTGTTACCTACTTTATTGACCTAGGTCCACAGTCAGAGAGATTGGCAGATCTTGAAGGAGACAATAACCGAGTGTACCCATACTTATTTCTGAAACCTATTATCTGTCAATAGTCTATGTGTGTGTACTTACTCGCACAGTTTGGCACTAATGCTGCCAGTTCCGTTTAATTCAGGTCCTAGGTGTGCGATATAATCGGAACACTTTTCAACTTCATTGAGGTCGCAAATCATCTCTTTTCCTGTTTCGCCTGTTTTGAGAGAAGTATAACATTTTACTGTGTCATTATCGGAAATGCAGATCAATTATATATCGTATACAGTGTTCAGATCTTATCATAACTAACCAGAGACAGTGTTTAGATCTTATCATAACTTACCAGAGACAGTGTTTAGATCTTATCATAACTAACCAGATACAGTGTTTAGATCTTATCATAACTAACCAGAGACAGTGTTCAGATCTTATCATAACTAACCAGAGACAGTGTTCAGATCTTATCATAACTAACCAGAGACAGTGTTCAGATCTTATCATAACTAACCAGATACAGTGTTCAGATCTTATCATAACTAACCATATACAGTGTTCAGATCTTATCATAACTAACCAGATACAGTGTTCAGATCTTATCATAACTAAACAGGCACAGTGTTCAGATCTTACACAATTAGCTATGGCGTTACATTATGACGTCACAATGAAAACTCCGTCATAGCATTATTTGTCTTTTTCCATGATGATACAACTTACTCTATCTGATGAACAAAATCTGTAATTACCCCAGCCTCTGCTTAAGAGATGACATTGTGCTTTAAATCTGATGTATACCAATGGTATACTATACTTTTTCTGATGTTTGATATGGCTTCAGTTTATATGTATGTCATATATAAATAAACAGCAGTGTTGTTGCTTAATTATCACTGTGTTAACCAATCGTTTGTGCAAGAGGTGGAGGAAAACAGTCAACCATATGTAGGCATCTAGAATAATGGATATTCTACCAGAGCGTATAGACTTTTGGTCACAACTGAGGCTTCACTCTCGTCCTAAGTACAAGGCATGATGATTCATATTTCAGGCGCCATGTCAATGATGGAAATCATTTGGACAACAAAAGAAAAAGATGAGTGATGAAGTTACGAACACGAAACTTAATCATCTTTTTCCCCAGGTTGAGATCCCTATCTCGCCTCAAAAGGGAGGAATGATTCTATCACTCTATGTATTCAAGGCACATAGTCTGACCTATACCCGGAGCTGATGGTGGAATCTGATGTTATCACACCTTGCAGTTTTTAATACATATTTTGAATCTCCATCAATGGATTCCTGATTAAAAATTCAAATGATGAAGATTGTTGTTCCTTGCAACTCTGTCCGTTCCAAAAAGATACTTTTTGCAGCAGGTTTGCTTACTAAATCAATCAAAACATGATTCCAGAACAAAGCAATTCTGATGTCTGGACGCACATCATAATTTTAACTACATTAATGACAGAAAAGGGGAAATCTGAAACCGAAAGTATCCATTCTATAGCCCAAAAACGTTTAGAATTTTACCATTAATGTATTAAGTATATAGATACGTTTGAACCTATCAGGGCAGCCTTCTTTACCCGATACCAGATATGCGGTTATCGCTGTCTCTGCCGGTATTGTAGTGTATACATATGGTACTAACTTTAGTCTGCCTGTTGGTTTCGTTGTTGTATACTTCGTTCTCATTTGAGAATGTGACATTACTAACTTGTATTAACCAAGATTTACATGGCGGTTGTCGGCGATGAAGCAGAAGACGCTTACTCTTCCGGTACAGCTGGCCATATTCTCATCGCAATTTTTCAGGAGTCCCCGTGTAAATCTTTCATTTGTTCATTTTTTTGCTCTAGTTTTATGGAATATGAGTTTGGATTATGACGATGTTGCCATATTTGTGATTTTTTTTTTTTTTTTAACAAATAAGGTGACAAACCTGTATCTGTATCTGGTGTAAACGGATCACATCTGACACTTGCAGTCTCGCTTTGTCCACATGTATTTATGGCCAGGACTGCGAACGGACACTCTGCCATATTTTCTTCCTGGCCGGAACAAGACACATCAGCCAGCACTATAGGGCTATTGCCTTTACCATAATGAGATCCGAGAACGGGTTCCCCTCCACTGGAGACAAAATAATCTGGGATTAGTCATACCGATTGTTATGCTTTATACAATTTTTTACTTTGAAAAAACAAATTAACAGAAAACAATATATAACCTTGAATAAAATCTTACATAGCGATAGATCACTAAAACTACCCACGATAGATCACTAAAACTACCCACGATAGATCACTAAAGCTACCCACGATAGATCACTAAAGCTACCCACGATAGATCACTAAAACTTGTTTACTACCCACGATAGATCACTAAAACTTGTTTACTACCCACGCACTACTAGTATCTTAATTTCACTTACCTTAGAAATGATCCATATCATTGTTGACGATGTGGATACACTACTGATCACCACAGAACCGCCATACCGTGCCTTACTATAAACTTTATTTATTTTACAACAATTGCGAAACAAGTTATTTCAACTTATACTAATAACTCTTGTTGGCCCGGATGTAAGCGCGCGAGGGTTCTTATTGTGGGAGGGAACCGGAATACCAGGGGAAAACCCACGTTGTCGGGCAGGTACCCCATCCGTTCCAGGAGTCGAACCCGGGACGGCTAGGTGAAAGGCGAGTGCGTTACCACTACGCCACCCTACCTCCCGTGCCTTATTTATTGGTATCCCTCTCTGATAGACCCGCTGTAAACAGCAGTAGTCTTTTCTCCATGTTGTAATGGATAGAGTGGAGAGTAGTCAGAAGTGCTGTGATGATGATAATGTGAGATAACCCCAGAGAATTTGAAGTATAACCCTAATGCTAGCACAATTAAGATAACACACGCCGAGCCCCGACTGCGTGTTGAAAAGTCGTGCACGTAGTGTGGCAGGTGTTTTGAGGATTTCGTAACCACGTTTACGAGTAACCGTATAGTACCACAGTATCAGTATTTGCTATTTCTCTACTGTTTATGATATACTACCATACAATAAAGAACCTGTTTTAATGTGATACATGCCATCATAATAATTACTAGGATAATGTACTTCACTAATAAATCATGCAAGATAAAAAAAAAACAGAATATATGTATGACAATCTCTTAATATAAGTAATATGTTTGTCACACAGATGACCAGTATTTTTCCCTGGTCAGCTTTCTGATCTAATGGTACTCACAGAAACGACATATTTCTATCTGAGCCAACATACATTAGATCATTTGTCCTGCTTTAGAAGGAAAATCAACATTTGGTAAGGAGGGAAAAGGAAACTTTTGTCTATATTTTTACAGACTTCACAGATAGTTTCTAAATTGTAAGGCATTTGTTCTATGGCAACTAAATCTTATATGTAATGTGGATCTACACGTGCCTGTGTTTTCTGAATTTTATATCTGAACTAAAGACGAAGAAACTAACCTTTTCAGAACACCTTTTTTGTCTTTCCTTTTCGTTCGTGTAGATCTATTTTCCAGTCATAATGTGTCCCCGTTACACATATTTTTAGTTTGATTCAAGATTGAAGACGCCAGTAATTTTGGTTGGTTTTTTTCCTTAATCTACATGATGCCCCTTTCTATATAAAATCAAAAGTTCTATGTAAATCTATTTAACAATAAACATTATTTTGTTTTTTTGTTCTGCAGATAATGTGAAAAAATCATCTAGCATGAATCATATTTACTAGCCAGAAGCGGTTGTCACTATGTGACGGAATAGGTGTAGTCTGGATAGCTCAACCCGTTTATACCTTTCAGTCTGACTGGAAACTGAAGTACAAACTACGGTCGTCTTGGTGAAATGCTATCCAACCAACCGTTTCTATATATAGGCATACCTGAATCCTATTTCTCTGCAGACGACCACGGCGTCCTTCACATCCCAGTGATCGTCACAAACATGACCCCACTCATGGTTGTGGTACATTTCTACTCGTCCCTCGTTTGGTGTTGTACCGCCAACCAGACGAATATTTCCTAAACAGATGTTTTAATGTTCACATTACCACTGAAAAAATTAATTAGGAACTGACAAGATTGAAAAATTAAATCCGGATTTGAAAAAATTAATACGGGCATGAAAAAATAGATTTGGAATTGAAAACATAAATCCGGAATTGAAAAAAAAATAAATCCGACACTGACAAAATAAATTCAGGAGTGAAAAATTAAATCCGGAATTGAAAAATTGATCCAGACCTGAAAAAATAGATTAGGGATTGCAAAAATGAATCCGGGACGACAAATGTTTTCTTGTATTTGAAAACTGTCCTTTTTCGAAGTATGTGAAGAATGCAGCCATCCAAATCGTGGCTGATGTAGTACTGGTGATGTTATCAACATGTCAAATAACGTAGGATTGTACAACGTATATTTAAGGGAAAAAAACAGTTTGGTGAGGAGAAGCACGCCTTAGCTGATTAATAAGTTTCTTCCCCGATGAGTTTAAGACAATGCATTTTACCATGAAATCATAACCTTCCTCGTTTTGCTGATGTCGTTCTTGCAACTTAACCATTTTAAAATCAATTTGCCTTTCTTCTTAAACATTCATTACTACGTTTTACATGAAAGGCTTGGTTTCCTTTTTTCTGTAAAAAACTGACTTATTTTGTGTCTCCCTTGTATAATAAAGGGACATATTTCTATTTCTTTTAAGTTGTACCTTCTATCAGCAATTGAAAACGTATGGACCATTAACAGACCATAGGCAGTACTATATGATGTACACTAAATGATTTTCAAACTAATAATAAAGTAGTAGCCATTTTTTCTCATTTGTCTATCTAATGAATCCTTGTAACACATTATCTCCATTTCTCTCCTAGTCGTCATCAATTGCATTTTCACGCCATTAAAATATGTGTTTGAACACTGAACGATATGAAAAAGGAAGAAATAACTATCTTTCTTAATTTTAAACTTATTACTTATATACGAAGATTCCAGTAATCCTGACAGTTCGCTTAGGCCCTGCTTGTATTTCATCTGAACACGGAACGCGTAGGAATATGTTGGAAGTAGTCCAGTGATTGTTACTACCCTGGTCTCCGCAGATACTTGTATGTGATTCCATTGGTCCATTGGCGTGCCAGCTATAGTAGTGTAGTACACATTAATGCTTAACAAGTCTTTGCGATGACCAACATCGTCCCAGGTCAGTCTAACTGTGTCCATAGGTAGACGTAACAATCGCAAGCTTTTCGGCAGTGGGAAGTCTGGAGTAAAAATATTTTGTTTAGTTCTGTCTGTTCGTAACCTAGTATTTTGAACAATTCTATTTCTTAGTCGTAATACCTATTTCACAATATTGCTAATAGGAAGAATTTATCATTTATTTATCATACCTATCAATACCATGACTGTCCTTGATTATGTGATCATTTCGATAAATTTCAAACATTGTCCCTATAGATAGTAAATATCTTTACCTTTACCAAGAAATCTTAAAACGACAAACGTAAGGTTTTAAATTATGTCATCTCGTCCAGGATTGAAACTCAAGTAAGATAGTCGTGCGAGATTTCTGAATTGGAAATTTTGCTGGATATGTAATTTCTGGAAGGGTGCATTGTGTTAACAAAACCTTATGAAAAGTATTGTATTAATGCCTCTCAAAACCACATCACATCTTTAAGTATAAATCGAAAAATAAATATATCATTAGCAAAACAGTCGGGATCGGTGTTGTGGTGTTTGACTTACCTGTCGGGTTCGGTGTTTTGGTATTTGATTTACCTGTCGGGTTCGGCATTGTGGTATTTGACTACCCTGTCGGGTTCGTTGTTGTGGTATTTGACTTACCTGTCGGGTTCGGCGTTGTGGTTTTTGACTGACTGGAGGATTCGGTTGTAGTCGTATTTAATGGTTTAGTCCTGTCACACTTTATAGATACCTGCCAGTCATTAGTGGACTCACAAGGTCCGGAATACCTTACACTATATGTACAGTCCTCAAGACGCTCCTCTGTTCCATTACACACAACATTCTGTATCCACCTGGTGTCGTAACTTGCGCCAAAGTAATGCTTCATAGGCCATACTATGCCTCTGTTGACAACAAAACACAGATTATATTTAAATTTCGACATTGGATTTTCTTCAGCCACCTAAGTTTAAAATTCAGGCCATTAATATCACTGACAAGGCCTAAAAGGACGAAACAGCTGATATGTTTGGCGCTATGGTATCTTATCTCTCATGTTCATCAACAAACCCTTTTAATTCATGGTTTTATTATTCGTTTAACTATTGAAGTGAAATGCATACAAATGTGATATTGTTAGGTAGATTCTATTAGCGATATTTGCACCAAAAGCAGTATTGGGACAAGAATAAAACAAATAATATTATATTTGTTGTTGACCAAAATTGATAACAAAACTATGATGAGCTGCATTAGTTGAACAGTTAACGGTAAACTGATTGTTGATAATGTTACCGACAAGTCCGGTTCTGTATAATACTGGAAGTGACGTCCGAGTTAGCAAAAGTTACAGGATATCAACAGACAACAAACACGTGTGTCAAGTTGTCACAACATAAATAGATAATGTAACATTCTGAGTTGCTATGGTGTTATATCAATAGACCTGTTGAAAACAAGCCACCAATTGGGGATGGCAGCCGCCATTTTGTTATTGGTGAAGTGATTTAGGTATTATTGTGATATTCTTCCAGTGGAAAGTGAAGATGTATGTCAGTATGATACTTACTCGTATCCAAGTTGACGACATACGACCACAGAGCTTGTCGGGTAATCAAAATCACCATCACAAACCACATTCCATTGACCGTCATGATAAAGTTCTAAACGGCCCTCGTGGTCGGTTGTCCCTCCCAATAAACGGATGTCCCCTGTAATGCACATCTCTCTCTTATCATTGTCTGATTATGGTGAGGTTATTTCTTTGTCACACAAATTATTCAGACATTTGAAATTTTTCCGAGTCAAACAAGTAATTCGAACAATGAAGTTATTCGGACAGCGAATTTTTTTCACAGTAGTTATGCGGAAAAATCGTGGAATATTATTCTTAGACAATGTTGTCGGACAGATGATGACGTACTGGTAAATTGTGTGGCTAAGAAAAGTACTTCATATGCTTGAAACTGAAATATTTTCTTGACGTAAAGAAAATTTTAAGTATTAGCATTGTGAAAATGTGATAAGCCAGGTTGTTATACATGAAGAATTGTTACGGTTTTTTTTACCTTCATTGCCAAATTGTTCCGTCCCCGTATCACAAACGACACCAACCTGCCCATTAGCACGATCATAGCACGATTCATCGGTTCTTTCGCTGTATCTACAGTCGGCAAGACGCTCTTCTGTCCCTCGACAAATAACATCGTCAATCCAGTAAGAAACGTTACTATCACCAAAGTATTGAGGGGGATGCGTTCCGCCTCTGTAAACAACAGAGCAGCACATTCCTAAATAACAAGAATCTGACAAAACAGTTGTTTTAACTCTATTTCATATATATACAAATGTCCTGATGTAGAACAATGATCGACAACTCTGTAACATCTCATTATTCAAACATGCATGTTGGCATAACCGACGCCATCTTGATACGGAGAAATACCTATAACCTAGTTGATGTGGTGACATACCTGTAACCTAGTTGGTGTGGTGACATACCTATAACCTAGTTGATGTGGTGACATACCTATAACCTAGTTGGTGTGGTGACATACCTGTAACCTAGTTGACGTGGTGACATACCTATAACCTAGTTGATGTGGTGACATAGCGGTAGCCTAGTTGGTGTGGTGACATACCTGTAACCTAGTTGATGTGGTGACATACCTGTAACCTAGTTGATGTGGTGACATATCTGTAACCTAGTTGGTGTGGTGACATAGCTATAACCTAGTTGATGTGGTGACATACCTGTAACCTAGTTGGTGTGGTGACATAGCTATAACCTAGTTGATGTGGTGACATACCTGTAACCTAGTTGATGTGGTGACATAGCGGTAGCCTAGTTGGTGTGGTGACATACCGGTAACCTAGTTGACGTGGTGACATACCTATAACCTAGTTGGTGTGGTGACATACCTGTAACCTAGTTGACGTGGTGACATACCTATAACCTAGTTGATGTGGTGACATACCTGTAACCTAGTTGATGTGGTGACATAGCGGTAGCCTAGTTGGTGTGGTGACATTCCTGTAACCTAGTTGATGTGGTGACATACCTGTAACCTAGTTGATGTGGTGACATATCTGTAACCTAGTTGGTGTGGTGACATAGCTATAACCTAGTTGATGTGGTGACATACCTGTAACCTAGTTGATGTGGTGACATAGCGGTAGCCTAGTTGGTGTGGTGACATACCGGTAACCTAGTTGATGTGGTGACATAGCGGTAGCCTAGTTGGTGTGGTGACATACCTGTAACCTAGTTGATGTGGTGACATACCTGTAACCTAGTTGATGTGGTGACATATCTGTAACCTAGTTGATGTGGTGACATACCTGTAACCTAGTTGATGTGGTGACATACCTGTAACCTAGTTGATGTGGTGACATACCTGTCAGCTAGTTGACGTAGTGACATACCGGAAACCTAGTTGATGTGGTGACATACCTGTAACCTAGTTGACGTGGTGACATACCTGTAACCAAGTTGATATGGTGACATACCGGTAACCTAGTTGGTGTGGTGACATACCTGTAACCTAGTTGACGTGGTGACATACCTGTAACCTAGTTGATGTGATGACATACCTGTAACCTAGTTGACGTGGTGACATACCTATAACCTAGTTGATGTGGTGACATACCTGTAACCTAGTTGGTGTGGTGACATACCTGTAACCTAACTCGTGACAGACGACTACAGTGTTAGTTTCGTGAAACCAATCGTCATCACAGACTGCTCCCCACAGTCCAGCGTGGTAAATCTCTAACCGCCCCTCTGCGTCGGACGATCCCCCCACCAGACGAATGTCTCCTGCACATAGACTCAGCATGATATTATCAGTACACTAGTTTTTTAAAATCATTTTGGCCCTGTCTGTACGCTTATCGGTTTGTGATTATGCTATGTATGCAGGATTGTTATTAAACCTATTTCATAATCACCATTTTTCAAAGAAAAATGCTGTTAGCCTCTCTATCAATCGCGATTGAAGTTTTATGGAATATTTTAACTCCACGAATAAACATATTGTAACCATACCAAGCATTCCATCTGACAAACATCTACCCATTAGTTTATATATAGGATAAATAAAATAGCCACAGACGGATCTTATAAAGGGAGCGATACAAAAATCTCTTCAACGAAAGAATGACCATTAAGCATGCATCTGTCCGTAGTAAACAGTTAACATTAACCATACATCTGTCCGTAGTAAACAGTAAATATTAACCATGCATCTGTCCGTAGTAAACAGTAAACATTAACCATGCATCTGTCCGTAGTAAACAGTAAACAGTAACCATACACCTGTCCGTAGTAAACAGTAAACAGTAACCATACACCTGTCCGTAGTAAACAGTAAACATTAACCATACACCTGTCCGTAGTAAACAGTAAACAGTAACCATACACCTGTCCGTAGTAAACAGTAAACATTAACCATACATCTGTCCGTAGTAAACAGTAAACAGTAACCATACACCTGTCCGTAGTAAACAGTAAACATTAACCATACATCTGTCCGTAGTAAACAGTAAACAGTAACCATACACCTGTCCGTAGTAAACAGTAAACATTAACTATACATCTGTCCGTAGTAAACAGTAAACATTAACCATACACCTGTCCGTAGTAAACAGTAAACATTAACCATACATCTGTCCGTAGTAAACAGTAAACATTAACCATACACCTGTCCGTAGTAAACAGTAAACATTAACCATACATCTGTCCGTAGTAAACAGTAAACATTAACCATACACCTGTCCGTAGTAAACAGTAAACATTAACCATACATCTGTCCGTAGTAAACAGTAAACATTAACCATACATCTGTCCGTAGTAAACAGTAAACATTAACCATACATCTGTCCGTAGTAAACAGTAAACATTAACCATACATCTGTCCGTAGTAAACAGTAAACATTAACCATACATCTGTCCGTAGTAAACAGTAAACATTAACCATACATCTGTCCGTAGTAAACAGTAAACATTAACTATACATCTGTCCGTAGTAAACAGTAAACATTAACCATACATCTGTCCGTAGTAAACAGTAAACATTAACCATACACCTGTCCGTAGTAAACAGTAAACATTAACCATACATCTGTCCGTAGTAAACAGTAAACAGTAACCATACACCTGTCCGTAGTAAACAGTAAACATTAACCATGCATCTGTCCGTAGTAAACAGTAAACATTAACCATGCATCTGTCAGTAGTAAACAGTAAACATTAACCATACATCTGTCCGTAGTAAACAGTAAACATTAACCATACATCTGTCAGTAGTAAACAGTAAACAGTAACCATACACCTGTCCGTAGTAAACAGTAAACATTAACCAACAGTAAACAGTAAACATTAACCATACATCTGTCCGTAGTAAACAGTAAACATTAACCATACCTCTGTCAGTCGTTATCAGTAAACTTGTACGTTTCACAGTTGTGTTGTAAACAGTAAATATTAACCATACATCTGTCCGTAGTAAACAGTAAACATTAACCATGCATCTGTCCGTAGTAAACAGTAAACATTAACCATGCATCTGTCAGTAGTAAACAGTAAACATTAACTATACATCTGTCCGTAGTAAACAGTAAACATTAACCATACATCTGTCCGTAGTAAACAGTAAACATTAACCATACATCTGTCCGTAGTAAACAGTAAACATTAACCATACATCTGTCCGTAGTAAACAGTAAACATTAACCATACATCTGTCCGTAGTAAACAGTAAACATTAACCATACATCTGTCCGTAGTAAACAGTAAACATTAACCATACATCTGTCCGTAGTAAACAGTAAACATTAACCATACATCTGTCCGTAGTAAACAGTAAACATTAACCATACATCTGTCCGTAGTAAACAGTAAACATTAACCATACATCTGTCCGTAGTAAACAGTAAACATTAACTATACATCTGTCCGTAGTAAACAGTAAACATTAACTATACATCTGTCCGTAGTAAACAGTAAACAGTAACCATACATCTGTCCGTAGTAAACAGTAAACATTAACTATACATCTGTCCGTAGTAAACAGTAACCATGCATCTGTCCGTAGTAAACAGTAAACATTAACTATACATCTGTCCGTAGTAAACAGTAAACATTAACCATACATCTGTCCGTAGTAAACAGTAAACATTAACTATACATCTGTCCGTAGTAAACAGTAAACAGTAACCATACATCTGTCCGTAGTAAACAGTAAACAGTAACCATACATCTGTCCGTAGTAAACAGTAAACAGTAACCATGCATCTGTCCGTAGTAAACAGTAAACATTAACTATACATCTGTCCGTAGTAAACAGTAAACATTAACTATACATCTGTCCGTAGTAAACAGTAAACAGTAACCATACATCTGTCCGTAGTAAACAGTAAACATTAACTATACATCTGTCCGTAGTAAACAGTAAACAGTAACCATACAACTGTCCGTAGTAAACAGTAAACATTAACCATACATCTGTCCGTAGTAAACAGTAAACATTAACCATACATCTGTCCGTAGTAAACAGTAAACATTAACTATACATCTGTCCGTAGTAAACAGTAAACATTAACCATACATCTGTCCGTAGTAAACAGTAAACATTAACCATACATCTGTCCGTAGTAAACAGTAAACATTAACCATACATCCAGTAAACAGTAAACATTAACTATACATCTGTCCGTAAACAGTAAACAGTAAACAGTAACAGTAAACAGTAACCATACACCTGTCCGTAGTGAACAGTAAACATTAACTATACATCTGTCCGTAGTAAACAGTAAACATTAACCATACATCTGTCCGTAGTAAACAGTAAACATTAACTATACATCTGTCCGTAGTAAACAGTAAACATTAACTATACATCTGTCCGTAGTAAACAGTAAACAGTAACCATACACCTGTCCGTAGTGAACAGTAAACATTAACCATACATCTGTCCGTAGTGAACAGTAAACATTACTCACATGGTACCGATTATAGTACTGTTAAGGAGACAAACACTGAGCATATATAATTATCAAACAGAGTATACCTTCCACTGCCGAGGAACTGGTACTTGTTGTTGGAATAGTCGATTCGGGGTTGTGGATCATTGTGGTGACACTTGTTGGGGAAAACGCGGAAGACGATCTGTGAGGAACTTTGGTGATATTTGTTGGTGGAATGGAAGATGGTTTTTGCGGAACTTGAGTGATTTCTGTTGATGGAATTGTAGATGGTCCGTAGTGCTTACAAACCACACCCACATCCTCTTCATGGGCACAATCATGTTCGCCCCAGCCATCAAATATACAATCTTGTAATACAGTAGAATTCTGGTCACATTTGACGCCATCCATCCATATCGGACCTTTCCCTTTACCATATGGAGCTTTACTTAACAAATGTCCGAATTTGCTGATTCAAAAGAAATAAACAAAATGTTGCTGTAAAATCAAAGCTACAACAATCACATTACATTACACTGCATATTGTTCAATGATCGCCATACCATCTCTATAACATAATATCACCTCGTCAACAAGATCAATGATCACCATACCATCTATATAACATAATATCACCTCGTCAACAAGAACAGATTGATTTATCAGAATTTTGGGACGAAAAATATCTATATCTTATAACAACGTGACTTACCTATATCCTTATTGTTTACATTGTAACAACGTGACTTACCTATACTCAAATGTTTACATTGTAACAACGTGACTTACCTATATCTCAATTGTTTACATTGTAACAACGTGACTTACCTATATCTCAATTGTTTACATTGTAACAACGTGACTTACCTATATCCTAATTGTTTACATTGTAACAACGTGACTTACCTATACTCAAATGTTTACATTGTAACAACGTGACTTACCTATATCTCAATTGTTTACATTGTAACAACGTGACTTACCTATATCTCAATTGTTTACATTGTAATAACGTGACTTACCTATATCCTAATTGTTTACATTGTAACAACGTGACTTACCTATATCTCAATTGTTTACATTGTAACAACGTGACTTACCTATATCTCAATTGTTTACATTGTAACAACGTGACTTACCTATACATGTACTCCAAATGTTTACATTGTAACAACGTGACTTACCTATATCTCAATTGTTTACATTGTAACAACGTGACTTACCTATATCTCAATTGTTTACATTGTAACAACGTGACTTACCTATACATGTACTCCAAATGTTTACATTGTAACAACGTGACTTACCTATATCTCAATTGTTTACATTGTAACAACGTGACTTACCTATACCCCAAATGTTTACATTGTAACAACGTGACTTACCTATATCTCAATTGTTAACATTGTAACAACGTGACTTACCTATATCCTAATTGTTAACATTGTAACAACGTGACTTACCTATATCCTAATTGTTTACATTGTAACAACGTGACGAACCTATATCCTTATTGTTTACATTGTAACAACGTGACTTACTTATACCCCAAATGTTTACATTGTAACAACGTGACTTACTTTTATCCTAATTGTTTACATTGTAACAACGTGACTTACCTATATCCTAATTGTTTACATTGTAACAACGTGACTTACCTGTACCCTAATTGTTTACATTGTAACAACGTGACTTACCTATACCCCAAATGTTTACATTGTAACAACGTGACGTACCTATAGCCTAATTGTTTACATTGTAACAACGTGACTTACCTATACCCCAAATGTTTACATTGTAACAACGTGACATACCTGTACCCTAATTGTTTACATTGTAACAACGTGACTTACCTATATCCTAATTGTTTACACACCAAGTTTCCGTTGTTCTCGCTGTTCTGCTGCCAACCATCATCACACACAGTGCCCCACTCACCAGCGTGGTATATTTCCAATCTACCTTCATACTTTGTAGAACCATTCACCAACCTAATTGCTCCTTCTACAACGAATGTATCATAAAAAAAACTATTCGCTTTTTTCTTCATATCACAAACTTGATTTAGATGCCCATGTTGACAGCCCTTTGTGAGCCTTGTGTCTGTATAAAAGCTGAACAACCCCTTGCAGACATGACAAAGACTGTTGCTGATTGACAAATGCACTTAAAGACAAAATTTACTAGATTGAAGGAAAATGTTGTGGAGTATTGTCGAATACCTGGTATAAGACGAATTAAGTCAGACTCCGTATTCCCCATGACCAGGTATATAACCTTTTACTCTAAGAAATAAATAGAAATACATAAAAAAAACTTTATATTTCATAAAGTTTTGATATAAATAAAATAAATCTTACAAGTCTACTGCTGACACAAGGAGTTATATATACATTATTTATAGGACAATGATCAGAGAGAGGGTTAAATAACTCCTGATGTGACCTCAACGTTATCATGATATATTACTATGGTATACTATTAAAGTAACAAAGTACCTAATTCCAAACCAATTCCAGTTTGGCAACATGATGGTATATATTCCGGAATGAATGTGAAAAGGTATGCGATCGCCGGATTCTCCTTTTTCCTCGAACGGTTAAGACCCCTCGCGTGCTTCCATCCGAGCTAACAACAGTGATCGTTGTAACGAAATTGTTGTGAAAATATTTTAAAATTTGAAATGGGTGTAGAATGTCGATAATTAAGCCTGTTTGACTAAACTATATCACCTACCAGGACATCCCACACCATGTTATATTTTCCTTGACTAAACTATATCACCTACCAGGACATCCCACACCATGTTATATTTTCCTTGACTAAACTATATCACCTACCAGGACATCCCACACCATGTGATATTTTCCGTGACTAAACTATATCACCTACCAGGACCCCCCACCCACCCCCCCCCCCCCCACACCATGTTATATTTTCCGTGACTAAACTATATCACCTACCAGGACATCCCACACCATGTTATATTTTCCGTGACTAAACTATATCACCTGCCAGGACATCCCACACCATGTTATATTTTCCGTGACTAAACTATATCACCTACCAGGACATCCCACACCATGTTATATTTTCCTTGACTAAACTATATCACCTACCAGGACATCCCACACCATGTTATATTTTCCGTGACTAAACTGTATCACCTACCAGGACATCCCACACCATGTTATATTTTCCGTGACTAAACTGTATCACCTACCAGGACATCCCACACCATGTTATATTTTCCTTGACTAAACTGTATCACCTACCAGGACATCCCACACCATGTTATATTTTCCTTGACTAAACTGTATCACCTACCAGGACATCCCACACCATGTTATATTTTCCTTGACTAAACTATATCACCTACCAGGACATCCCACACCATGTTATATTTTCCGTGACTAAACTATATCACCTACCAGGACCCCCCACACCATGTTATATTTTCCTTGACTAAACTGTATCACCTACCAGGACATCCCACACCGTGTGATATTTTCCTTGACTAAACTATATCACCTACCAGGACATTCCACACCATGTTATATTTTCCGTGACTAAACTATATCACCTACCAGGACATCCCACACCATGTTATATTTTCCGTGACTAAACTATATCACCTACCAGGACATCCCACACCATGTTATATTTTCCGTGACTAAACTATATCACCTACCAGGACATCCCACACCATGTTATATTTTTTCAGAAAAAAAATTACGTTTTCTTTGTTTTGACCATCAACATTTAAACCATTCTATGATGCATTTTATTGAACAATTAGTCATATATAGCAACTATTACTAGATGCACTGACAGATGTCATCGGTGGGGAATTCTGACGTCATAATGGTCAAGAGATGGACGAAATGTCTTAAATCACACACCTTTCTGATTCGTGTGATTGTAGTGATATGTATATCGGTGTCACTCCTTGCCCAACGTGGCACTGACATTCAAAAACGGATACGCAGATGGAAGGACGAAATATATTATGCTTAGGTCAGGGAAAATGTTTATATCTATGAAGAAATGAATGTCAGTCGTCTCTTGTTGTTTATGTGTTTAAGTGGTTGAAGCATCTATAAGGTGGTCAAGTGGACATATTTTATATACAGGAAAACGTTCTGTGTGTGATAACGATGTTGGTAGACTATACGTTTGTACTATTGTTTTAGATAAATATACGGTGACACTTGAGCATTGTTAGTCCAAATTGTACGAGTCGGGATGTCTAGGGAAGGTATTTTTATATGAAATGTCTATTGTACTAGAACCTAGAACGGTTTCCTCAATATCGGCATTGCTCAGTTCTTTATTATAGTAGATCTGAAATCCAAGCCCTGCTCAATTAGTTTTTATTTCGACTGTATCATGTTTTTCTTGCTTGGTGTAAGCCCTATCAACCATATGTTTACAGAAAGACGTGTTCTAATCCTCACAGATTTTACCTATCGAAATCCCGTGTAGTAAAGGTATGATTGTTCTGTAGCATTTATCGTCTCATATCACTGTGGTGATGAAACCTGCGGGGGAAATTAACATGAGAGGAAAACTAACTATTCTATGGAAGTCCACATATTTGGACAGGGGACCATTGTCCAAGTCCAAAGTTAATAGTCGAAATCCAGTTGTACTTGTAAAACACAAGTGCATTACAACCTACTGGTAAGATGTTCTTAAAAATATTTAAACATCTTTATAAAGTATAATGAGGACATATCTTTTATTAAATGCGAACTGTAGAAAATACATGGTGAGCTGATAAGAAAATAACTTTAATGGAATAGTACCTCTCTTTAGACTTACCTGTTGGAATTGTGGCACTTGGTAAGGTTGTACTGTTGCTTTTACCGCCGATTGTGCCGGAAATAACAAACACCATTTCATCGAGTCGTACCATCTCGTTTGAAAATGATTGTAGAGAGTCGAATAAACCGCCCAACTGCTGGTGCTGTGCAAACTCTTTGTTTTCTAATTCAGAAAAGCACATTGTCTCGAAATCGGCATGTTTTGACGACAGCGCATTGACGTCCGATCTTAGGTTTTGCATGCTTTCCACAAGCTGCTGCATTTCCTCCGTTACATTGTCTCTTTTTTCTTCTTCCACCTTATCATCAGCGATCTCTCTCCTAAGTCTCGCTTTGATTTCACTTTCCATGATCTTAAAAGCGCTTTCCAATTCTTTCTCTACGAGTGTAAACCCTGATTCATACACATCGTTCCAACTGGCTAAAGTATTCACGACGTCCTCACTGTAACCACTCTGCGGTTCACACTTGATGTCAGGCATCAATAGCATCAGACAAAGAGTAACAATAACGGACCATCGTCCTGCCATCGTGGATCATGTCCCGAACTATGGTTGATGATACGCACACTGCGGAAGTAAACAGCCTCTGAAAGGATATGCGTGTGAGAACCTCTGATACTTAACGTCGCTGAAAATTTCCAGAATTACACACTCTCAATTGAAGTGGTTACCATATTTGTAAAATTGTCATTAATAGAATTGCAAATCAGTTGTCCGCTTTCAGTATTAAGATTAATCAAAAGTAGGTAAAGTCTGGTTCTAAGCCAGGATATTCGTAATATACTAAAAGGATACAGAAACGCAGGGTGAACTTTAAACCAGAAATTAAGTATGATATCGGGGTTCATTTAAAACGAAATTTTGTATACTTACAGATAAATTAAAGCTTAAAAATTCCCATAGTCTGTATTTTGCATCTGACAATTGGTTTAGAGGTACTAACGATTAAATTGAATGGACCCGTAGGATTTTGAAATTCAAATTGAACTGAGTCATCAATATCTTGTGTGTCCGCCGTTTGCTGTGGTCACGGCCCTTATTCTTCTGGTCATAGAGTTCATGAGAGCGTTAATCCGTCTTATGGGGATGTTGTCACACTCTTCAATCAGAGCTCTGGTCAATTGCTCTCGAGTAGCAGGGGGTGGCTGGCGCTTTCGAACCTGTCTATCCAACTGGTCCCAAAGATGCTCGATCGGGGACAAATCAGGGCTATATGGCGGCCAATCTAGTGGTTGAATGTTGTTGTTAGCCAGAAAGACTTGGCAAATCCTTGCTACGTGGGGCCTAGCATTATTCTGCTGGAGGGTTAGATTATGCTGCTGTAAGATAGGGATAATATGGGGTCGGAGGATCTCATCTCTATACTTAGCTGCTGTTAAATTGCCATCAATAACAACCAAGTGTGATTTTAACCCGTGTGAGATTCCTTACCACACCATTACTGAACAGCCCCCAAACCTATCCCTCTCTACAACGCAAGCGTCCGTAAAACGTTCGCCACGACGTCGGTAGACACGTTGACGGCCGTCAGATCGATAAAGACAGAATCGAGACTCGTCCGTGAAGAAAACTTGTCTCCACTGCCTCATTGGAAACCGTTGTGGAGCATGTGCAGCGACCCAGGCCATACGACGCTGACGTCGAGCAGGGGTAAGGTGTGGACCTACGTAGGGGCGACGTGCTCTTACACCAACTTCTCGTAATCGATTCCTTACAGTTTTTTAACTTACAGGACGCCCATGATTTCCACGAACATTAAGTGCACTCTCAACGGCAGTAAGGCGCCGATTACGCACATGAGAGACGACGATATAGCGATCCTGACGTCGTGACGTTACGCGCGGACGTCCTGACCTAGGTCGATCGGCCAATCGCCCAGTTTCCCGAAGACGTTTTACAAGACGTTCTATGGTGGAAATATCAAAACCAAAGTGCCTAGCAACCTGATTTTGCAGCTGTCCTTGCATCAGCATCTGAATGGCCTGACCCCTCTGAACTTCTGTGAGTCGTGCCATTCTTAAAACGAATCAAATTCTCAATTAATTTTAGGGAAGCAGTTGGTCTGTATAAAGACTAATGAAGAGTGACTTGACCAACGCTGCATGAGACCAGAACAACAAGGTGCACGAGATTCTTGTTTTTTCTTCCTCCATTTACCAGAGCTGCGCACTGTACCGTGACTAAATTTTCGATACATGACAAGGTGTAATATGACCTAATTACTCAATCCACAAAGTTTCACTTTATTTGGAGAACGCGTTTTCAAAATATCGGAATAAATATTACCCTGCGTTTCTTTATCCTTTCAATACTGATAACCATCGTTAATCAAACGATTATGTTTGATCATGACCTTGAGACATAAAAGTACATTTCTGAGCACAAAAAGAAGATAATTAAGGCATTCAATGTTAAGAGATCTTTTCAGAACGAAGAGAAGAACAGAGATAAGCGGTTGATTTTTATCATCTGAAGATGTTTCGAAATTATTGAAAAATAAAGAAACTGGCTAGCGCGCATATTGTCATAAAATGTAGAGACCCTGTCCGTGAATTATTTCCACGTACATGAATAGGTCAAGCGGGTACAAGGTAGGTCGTAAGAACCTTTTTAGACAAACATACTGTACATGTATATAACTGAAGTTTCTAAACTGGGCCTGAGATTCCTTGGCTGTACTGACGTGTAATGGGCTTTTGGTTCCGTTTGCATGACGCTGACCTTATCAACTAACAGATGTTTAGAAAGTAAGTTAGTTTGATTTGTTTATTTTTTAGGTTCAGCACCCCTTCAACAGCCTAGGTCATTTTGAGGTTTGATGTTCTTGTAGTTACTGTTAAAAACACTATGGTAAGACCGCCGCATGCTAAGCAAAGCAGTAAGGGTTCAAGTGTCGTGTTCAAAAGGCATAACTACGTGAGCACTTACTTACTAGTATAGAGACTGGGTATCGAACAATCACTCCCCAGTTAACCAGCCTGTTCCAGTGCCTAATTTCAACTTGAAACGCAGCAAAATCTTTGAAAACATTTACATTTTACCAGTGTAATATCATGTAAATGTAACAGTGTTAAAAATTTCAGAATGGTTAAGAGTGTGGGAGTTAATTTCCGTACATTACAACCAGATGGACAAAATGGGAATCACTTGTGAAATACTATTGTTTTTTTTTTTTTTTCATTTTACTGCGTAATTCTAAATCTGTATTACAGTGTCTAATTCTAAATCTGTATAACAGTGTTTATTTCTAAATCTGTATTACAGTGTCTAATTCTAAATTAGTACTACAGTGTCTCATTCTAAATCTGTATTACAGTGTCTAATTCTAAATCTGTATTACTGTGTCTCATTCTAAATTTGTACTACAGTGTCTCATTCTTAACCTTTATTACAGTGTCTAATTCTAAATTTGTATTACTGTGTCTCATTCTAAATTTGTACTACAGTGTCTCATTCTAAATCTTTATTACAGTGTCTATTTCTAAATTTGTATTACTGTGTCTCATTCTAAATCTGTACTACAGTGTCTCATTCTAAATCTTTATTACAGTGTCTATTTCTAAATTTGTATTACTGTGTCTCATTCTAAATCTGTACTACAGTGTCTCATTCTAAATCTGTATTACAGTGTCTAATTATAAATCTGTATTACAGTGTCTAATTCTAAATCTGTATTACAGTGTCTAATTCTAAATTTGAATTAGAGTGTCTCATTCTAAATTTGTAGGAGTGTGTCTATTTCTAAATCTGTATTACAGTGTCTATTTCTAAATCTGTATTACAGTGTCTAATTCTAAATTTGTAATGAAATATGCCTCAATTTGTGTTTTCCCTACTATCTTTGATGTATCTCTATTAACATATGGAATGCAAGATGGTTTGGCATAATACGTGATATTTAAGAATATTATGATATTCGCGATATTTATATTTGAGAAATGGTCCCTCGTCTCGATACTAATCCGATTCGTCATGGAATCTTTCAGGCATCAGTAATATTTATCGGGCATTTAACATTGCTTCTCAATCTCTACATCGTAGCGTTAACACATTAAAAATAGATGTTTAATTAAAATCGATTTACTAAAAATAAACCTTTAAACAATCAATTTGGAATGACTTCCTCGAACAAATATTAAAGCAATTATTTTTATGCAATATCTGCTATCTCTATGTCGTCATCGAATTTGAAAACGTGACTTACTTACTTGAATTGACAAAGGCATAAGTGGTGGGTGTCGTCGATGAAGCAGAAAACGCTTGCTCTTCTGGAAATCCTGGTCTATTTCTCCTTGGTCTCCATGAAAATCTTTATTTTGTTCATGTTTTGCTCTAGTTTTTGTGGAATTTCAGTTCGGGTTATGATTATGTTGACATATTGGTATTTATTGATTTTTCCCCCAGACAGACGTCCCGGAATTAAATGTTTTAAAATTTTTGTGTCCTTAACATGTCATATAATGATGCAATGAGGTGTTTGTCCAATTCTAACATTCAATAAAAGACACACAAGTTAATAGCATTATCAAACAATTGAGAATTAGATACAGTACAATCCAATAACAAATAAAACTGCATTATACAGCTGTGCCGTCCTTCTACGACTCGTCAGTGATGCTAAGGGCTAAATGCTTGAAATGTAGGAGGCGATTGAGGAAAATGGAAGGCTATAGAACAAAATGTCAAAAACCAAATGGCGAGGTGCGCAAGTCCTGTTATCAAATAAATGTTGTCATTTTCATAAGGCGAAAATTTCCTCAGAATGGCAAGTACTGTGTATATTCTGAACCGTGCCACTATTCGAATTAGTTCTAACGCGGTGTGCATGTTACGTCAAACCTCAGTCTACCGGCAGTGTCTACCATCTGCTATCTCGGAGATTGTACAAAACACACACAAAGTAGCATTTTTAATGTAAATAATCAAAGACGTGATAATACGAACATTTTCTTGTGGTGTTGATTTTTTCTTACATATTTTGATATTCAACAGGGAATCTTTTTCCAATTATACAGTTTAAAATCGCTTTTGCCTTTCGAAATGACGTAGGGGAGACAACACTCAATACTCACCGCTGCTGTTGATGGAATTCCATCGGTCTCTTTATATAGGTGGGTATTTTGTTAAGAATGGCGGTCTGTTATAAGAATATACGTACTAAACTGTACTGGAGTATCTTGAATGAAAAACAACAACAGGCAAGGCGTATAAGAGCTGGGTCTCTCAACAGACGAAGTGAACCAATTTGTTCCATCGTTAATTAAAACCTTACAATCAGGGACATTCAACCAGTAACCTCTAGAAAAAGCGACATGATGACTCTTGTTACGACGTTCAGCGATTTGTTACCAATGTCATATGATGAAAATGACCGTGTAGTCATCGAAATGTCATACTAAAATCTTTGCTGGTTGTGTTAAAATGTACTTTAATTTTATTCAATGTAATAAGTTGACAGCGAAAATTACAACATATATTTTAGAAAATAAACAAAAAATACACGGGATCCCCTATGTAAACAAAGATTACCCGTGATCCCTTATGTAAACAAAAAATACCCGGGTCCCTATGTAAACAGAAAATACACGGGATCCCCCTATGTAAACAAAAAATACATGGGATCCCCCTATGTAAACAAAGAATACGCGGGATACTTGACATGAATTTATCCTTAGGAAGTATTTAATTAGAGTTTAATAAATTAGCCTAACGCAAAACCCTGACGTCGATCACGAATGGATATCCATCTTTCATTGCACGTTTTAATCAATTTCATCTACAAAAAGTATCGGCTCTGTTGTTCATTGTTCTATATACAGTAACGGTACCTGCACTGTAGGTCACTGTTGTATATATGTCTAGAATATCTGTACTGTAGGTCACTGTTGTATATATGTCTAGAATATCAGTTCTGTAGGTCACTGTTGTATATATGTCTAGCTGTAGGTCACTGTTGTATATATGTCTAGAATATCTGTCCAGAATATCAGTTCTGTAGGTCACTGTTGTATATATGTATAGGATATCAGTACTGTAGGTCACTGTTGTATATATGTCTAGCTGTAGGTCACTATTGATTATATATTACAAATATCTGTACTGTAGGTCACTGTTGTATATATATTAAAAATATCTGTACTGTAGGTCACTGTTGTATATATATTAAAAATATCTGTACTGTAGGTCACTGTTGTATATATGTCCAGAATATCTGTACTGTAGGTCACTGTTGTATATATGTCTAGAATATCTATACTGTAGGTCACTGTTGTATACATGTCTAGAATATCAGTTCTGTAGGTCACTGTTGTATATATGTCTAGAATATCTGTACTGTAGGTCACTGTTGTATATATGTCTAGAATATCTGTACTGTAGGTCACTTTTGTATATATGTCCAGAATATGTGTACTGTAGGTCACTGTTGTATATATGTCTAGAATATCAGTTCTGTAGGTCACTGTTGTATATATGTCTAGAATATCAGTTCTGTAGGTCACTGTTGTATATATGTCTAGAATATCTGTACTGTAGGTCACTGTTGTATATATGTCTAGAATATCTGTACTGTAGGTCACTTTTGTATATATGTCCAGAATATGTGTACTGTAGGTCACTGTTGTATATATGTCTAGAATATCAGTTCTGTAGGTCACTGTTGTATATATGTCTAGAATATCTGTACTGTAGGTCACTTTTGTATATATGTCCAGAATATCTGTACTGTAGGTCACTGTTGTATATATGTCTAGAATATCTGTACTGTAGGTCACTGTTGTATAAATGTCTAGAATATCTGTACTGTAGGTCACTGTTGTATATATGTCTAGAATATCAGTTCTGTAGGTCACTGTTGTATATATGTCTAGAATATCTGTACTGTAGGCCACTGTTGTATATATGTCTAGAATAGCTGTATTGTAGGTCACTGTTGTATATACAGTCATGGCATCAATATTACAGTTCTTTTAAGATGATAAAATCAGTCCGTGCTCCACCTCGTTAGTGTTCATGAAATCACAGATTTCTTTCCTCCTGTTCCTTTTTTGTATTGCACGTGAAATCTATGAAATTCTGCTGTCCAAATTAGTATATAACACTCATGCCTGGATAATGTTCTATTGTTCGTGGTTGTATATAATTAACATTAACAATTAATTAGTGTATATGAAAGCATCTACATCTCCGGTTTAAATTTCCTAGAAAAACCGGTACGTGTTGATTGTTACACAATAACACAAGTACTGTCATCCTTATTGGAAGGGGCAGGAGCTGGTCTGACAGGCGCCGTCGTCGGGCGAGGTGTCGAACCAGTGGTCATCTGCTGTCTTGGTCGACCTGATTGAGCATTCCTTTGTGCACCCCGATCTCGACCTGGACGTCCGGGATGAACACCAGCAATCCGTGCAAGTCGTTCTTTGAACTGCCCCATCGGTTCAATGTAAAAGCACTCGAGCCATATTTTTCTGATGCAAAGGATTTTCAGCACCCGGCGAGTTTGCCCAGCAATGGAAATCTCTTCTGTAACCAGAAACTTTTTCGAGACGGCATTGAGTTCATAAAACTTGTTCATTCTGTCGCCGCACATTTCGTCATCGATGAAGAGACACTTTCCCAGCAGTACGTCTGGCGAGAACAATCCACAGAGTATCAAAAGTTCGTCGATATCATCGCTGTTGAGAGTACGGTACCTTCTGTATTCTCTCAGTTTCCGAACCCCAGCCTCTGACTTATCTAAATTCAGAGCGTAGCATATGCTATCCAAGTAGTACATTAGTTTAGCTTCGGGTACCTCTGCTACCTCCACGTCACGCCCAAACTCTTTAACACCAACATCTGTTTTTTCTGCTACCAGTGCCGTCATAGTTTCGATCTCAGAATACTTTTGTCAAGTTTCAATAATATTTCTTCCTCTTTCGATTTTTAAATATCATGTGATCATCTTCTTATATCTATTTACAAATCCAGGTAAACATCCGATGACGTGTCAATCTGCAAATGATGTGTAATGGTAAACCGAAAGTAGTCTAGTTTGTTAAGAATCTATTGGAGCGTCTAAATGTTATTTGTATAACATCATCAAAATCGCTGGGTCATGAAGATTTTAGCAGATATACTATTCCTATTAGTAATACCACCCCCCAACATTTCACAGGACAAAAGACAGGCCGCATCGGGACTAGGTATTCACCAAGTTACCCGGCGGATAGTACAAACACAGTACACACACAACACACACCTGTACTAGCTGACAGCTACTGTCAAACTGAATCCGGTCGGAAAAGAGCAACAGACGCTCGTCGGTTTTCACGTGCTGATGTTCTACCGTCGGTTTATCCGTCGGAATCCCGAGATCTCATAACTACGATAAATATTAATACATTAATAACTACATTACTTATAATTCTATAATTTATACTTGCTAGACTTACAAAACTTTTCCCGTAAACACAGTGAAAATACTGCAGTCATATTAATTCTATAAATAACTTCTACAAGTGTGTACAGTTAATACGTCACTTCCGGTCAAAACAAAGCATGGCACAGCAGAAATACTCCACATGGTGCTGATCATATTTCACCACTTTCCTTGATCACGATGGATAACAACTATCCAGAACATTTACACATCTCTAAGAAAGATTAAGGTATTAAATACATATGTCATTTATTGCAAAATTAATATTTAAAAGCGTAATATAAAGTGATACTGGGTCACATCACCATTCTGTCACAATAGATTATGGCTGGTCAATATAGAGGATGAGGCTAAAGAAAAAGTGAAAATCCATTACATTGGTAATTCAATAAGTTTGTTCTATTCAGTCACCAAATTAAGATGGATACACGTATCAAATTGATTGTATCATTATGGTTTAGAAAAATTAATATTAAAAAGAAAAATAGTTAATAATTATATGTAGATGTACATTAATACTTTTTATGCTAAGAGCATTTTCAATGCTCTTCAGCATGTTGCTGTCGCCCCTGAGGCTGAGTATCAGTACTTCGTTTTCATTGGTTCATAAATCGAAAGTTTATTCCTACTCCATCTGCCGGACATTACTGTAATAATTGGATTATCGCCCCTACAAGTTGCTGATGCTAGTCATTAAATGAAACAACCTTATCGACATTTTCTTCATTACTTGTACATCAAGAAAACGTTTTGTGTTGTGTATTAATGATAATCAACCATCGAAATTTGTAAATACAATGACAAAGAATCTCTCTGACATAATTACATTAGTGTTTAGAGAGTTGATTGTCTCCCTTACATTGACAATTCATAGTAAACTAATCTCTCTGACATAATTACATTAGTGTTTAGAGAGTTGATTGTCTCCCTTACATTGACAATTCATAGTAAACTAATCTCTCTGACATAATTACATTAGTGTTTAGAGAGTTGATTGTCTCCCTTACATTGACAATTCATAGTAAACTAATCTCTCTGACATAATTACATTAGTGTTTAGAGAGTTGATTGTCTCCCTTACATTGACAATTCATAGTAAACTAATCTCTCTGACATAATTACATTAGTGTTTAGAGAGTTGATTGTCTCCCTTACATTGACAATTCATAGTAAACTGATCTCTCTGACATAATTACATTAGTGTTTAGAGAGCTGATTGTCTTCCTTACATTGAAAGTCATAGTAAACTGATCATCTCTGACATAAAACTAAGTACTAGATGACAACACAGTGGCATAACTACACAATAGACTTCCACAACAAGAAAATTGACCAATGACATAACATTTGCATTACAACACAAAATTGAGATGAAAGTACATGTCGACTCTCCTCCAACTGCCAATAATGCTACTGGGATTAGGGAGGGAGGGCTTGCAAAAATTAGATGGCCTCATGGCCTGCAAGTAGACAGTGCACAGTTTTCCCGGGTACAACAAAACTGGTTACGTCACTTAGAAATGCGTATGTAGTATGTACAAGCTTGCGTAATTAGCTTTAGTTTCGTAAACATTAATTGATACCTAAATTATCTTATTTATGTAGGTAAGTATCACTATATATATGTAAGCTTAATTTAAAGTCAATACTTATACTGAACTAGCAATTGCATTTTTTGCAACAATTCATTTAGAATGAGCCTTCGCGTGTATTGAATTTAGGCTCGACGGCGACGCGCAAGCTGGGCACTGCCGCCATGGCACTTTTTTTTCAAAATATTTTCAAGACTTTTCCTTTGAAGCAGTATGTATTTGAAAAATGTTATGTAAGCATCTAGCACATTTTTGTTGCTTCCGTAAAGTATTTCAGTATTTTGAAATGGATTTATTTTTGAATGATCGTTTCATAATGGTCTCATCGCAGTCACTTCTGTCAGTGGCCCAACATATCGGAAATTAACCAGAAAAAAAACTTATCCGTGATATTGTACTGTACTACTTACGCTACCGTGAATAGATCTAGGAATCTATCTGTGTAATATATCGATTTTACTTTAAAATATCGGTCACTGTCCGCGCTATTGTAGATCTAGCTCTTTCAAATTTCTGATCGGAGATAATTTATAAGTACCCCAAGGCCAGGGTATGAAATCGTATGGGAACTCTACAGCTATGCTAATTGTAAGGTTTACATGTGAAGTTAATATATAAAGTTTTAGCTTAAATTTAGTTTTTGTCTTTCTGACATGATGTCTCGTTTATTCTGTTGAAGAGTGATGCATGTGAACGATTACAATATGAAGATTGGGAATAATGAAGATATCAATTAACATCTGAATCCCGGAAAGTGTTTAAATAAAGATTAGGATATACCTAGCAAAGTGTTAGGTCCCAGTGTGAATGTGTAAAGTCCCAGTGTGAATGTGTAAAGTGTAAGGTCCCAGTGTGAATGTGTAAAGTGTAAGGTCCCAGTGTGAATGTGTAAAGTGTAAGGTCCCAGTGTGAATGCGTAAAGTGTAAGGTCCCAGTGTGAATGCGTAAAGTGTAAGGTCCCAGTGTGAATGTGTAAAGTGTAAGGTCCCAGTGTGAATGCGTAAAGTGTAAGGTCCCAGTGTGAATGCATAAAGTGTAAGGTCCCAGTGTGAATGCGTAAAGTGTAAGGTCCCAGTGTGAATGCGTAAAGTGTAAGGTCCCAGTGTGAATGCGTAAAGTGTAAGGTCCCAGTGTGAATGCGTAAAGTGTAAGGTCCCAGTGTGAATGCGTAAAGTGTAAGGTCCCAGTGTGAATGTGTAAAGTGTAAGGTCCCAGTGTGAATGTGTAAAGTGTAAGGTCCCAGTGTGAATGTGTAAAGTGTAAGGTCCCAGTGTGAATGTGTAAAGTGTAAGGTCCCAGTGTGAATGTGTAAAGTGTAAGGTCCCAGTGTGAATGTGTAAAGTGTAAGGTCCCAGTGTGAATGTGTAAAGTGTAAGGTCCCAGTGTGAATGTGTAAAGTGTAAGGTCCCAGTGTGAATGTGAAAAGTGTAATTGGTACAATTCTTATTATGCCTGAACTGTTAATATATGTACTGTATTTTTTCATCGCAGAAATTTCAGTATTATGTCAAATGCGTCCACTTTCAGTTCAACACTTTTGATTCATTAATTTTACCCAGCCCCGGGCTCAATATTTGTCATTAATTGTCGACTGTTTTTTAGCGTTTTAGAGTTTTGTTTTCATGGTGAATGGAATGAAATGAGATAAACAGTCTAACCAATACCCCTCGAGAGCTAATTAAGACATTGCAGTATTATCACTTTGGGCCTTATTAAAAGTCAAATTGAAACTTTAAGAAACTCAAGTGACCGTAAGTACAACAATAAGATGTCAATAATCAATGAAATTGATTAATTGAGAGGACATTTTCTTAGTACAGTTAACCAGGCTTTGTAGTGGTTTGTTCAGAACTGTAGTTCTGGTTAAGTAACCATTAATTATGTCCTTTCAGTTACAATGACATACATTTTTGAAATACCTCTACTGTAGCTAAATATGGCATTTGTAATAGCCAGCCAAAGTTAATTTTGTGATAGACGTAGCCAAAGTTAATTTTAGGATCAGTTAGGACAGCTACTGTTTGTAACAGGCATGGATTCAATTACATGATGATGTAGTTAAATAAATTATAATTACATTATGAAAATGGCATTGCCATTACATGACGGTCCAATGTAATTAATTAAATTACACATTACTTTTGGAGTCATAATGATTTTTGAAATACAAACGTCAAAATAAATTATTATACTGCACAGATTTATCACACAAATTTAACTTTATGATTCAATCTCTGTATGACCATGGTCAAGATATTATTATTTTCTAGCTGTCCATCGCTTAATAATTTGACAGTCCTGAACGTCAAAATAATGTATTACAGTATATTTAATATAGACTCCTATTGGGAAGTTCAAGACTATAAGCTTATACAGAAGTGTATATTTCTTGCACATAATCATAGCAATAAAGAAATATAGTTATTTATTTGCTTTACTCTCTTTCAGCAGGTGGATGTCCCTGAAGAAATGAAATCTGGAATGGTAGAAGGTATCTCTTGATTCTTCTAACTTGGAATTGGCCATTGTGACCAACAATGGATTTGAGGACCTTATGGTGGAGAAAAACGTCCTTCTTTCCGACCTCCAATTAGATGTTGAAGATGATTAATCACTTGAGGAGATGCTAACAACCATGTTGCCTTTTAAGGTCACAGTACTCTCTAAAGGCGGCAATATATTTACCATCACAAGAGAAGAATCAACAAATCGCGGACACTAAAAAAATGTGGAAAAGATCATTGTATACTGCATTTGTAGTAAATTTCTATACAATCTTCAATTTACTTGAGTAGAAAGATTCACTAGTTATACCAAGTTTGTGTAGAAAAGATCGCTGTATACCGAGTTTAT